CATGATAGGAACTGAATTTGAGGCACCCCTGAGTTTTCTAAATTCTTCTTGAGTCAGCACCTAAGAGTAATCACAGGAAAGTATAGGCACCTTCCATTTTCCTGTGAGCTGCTTTTTCAGACAAATGAGTTTTACTTCGCCTCCATCCACATTTGGATGTGTTGCAGATAAGAAAGATCCATGTATCTGGAAATGTTTGTACACATGAACTCCTATCTGTGCCTTTTTTGTATTACTGTGTATAAGAAGCTGATCGTTTCACTTTGAATATTTCCTGCAACACTACATCTGATTAATTTACAGTCTTTTGTCTTTTTCTCCTGTTTCAGCAAATTGATGGAGAAGCATTTCTGCTTATGACCCAAACAGACATTGTTAAAATTATGAGCATTAAGCTGGGCCCTGCTCTCAAAATTTTCAATTCTATCCTGATGTTCAAAGCTGCAGAGAAGAACTCTCACAATGAACTTTGAAGATGGTGAATTTCGAATACCATCAGCTTTCCGCTTTAAAGCTCATGTTTTATTCAAAGCACAAGAACAGTTATAACTCCCAAGTGAGAAGTGTCCAAAACCCAAAAGAGCAATGCTATTGGATTATTTATATTCCTCCAGAGACAATATATATGAATTCTTATGAAAGTGCTTGAGCTTTTAACCAGGTACTGTCTAACAACAGTCATCTTTTGGTTCTGTTCACTGAGCTAAATTTATCTTTGTAAATCTTTTTGAGGCTGGGGGGGTGGGAGGGAACGGGGACTTCATTAATTATTTATGGATAAGGGGGGACAGAGTAAGAACTTTTGGCATTTTGTAAACATTGTTGAATTCTCTTTCATGTACACTGTTTCTTTTTCAATACTTTCAGGAATCTTTTTATATAATCAAATTTCGACTTAAACCAAATTAGTCAAAACCTGGCTGAGTTTAGCCAGTGGGACTGTTATCTGTATTGTTAATTCTGTGCCATATTTTGAATTGCAATATTATGCTAAGTAAAACTTTGCAAGTCATGATATTGCCTAACTGCTTGTCATCGTTTGTTGGGGCTGAATAGTTGTAAAAATTACTTTTCCTTAAGTCAGTGTTTTTGCTTTTGCACGTATTATGAAATGTTAAACAAATTACTTTCACCAGCATCTTTACTATAATTACCAAAAACATGTATATAAGTAATGGAATTGAAAAATAAAATATATAAACAGAAATAAATTAGGTGATGTATTTGAATGGCATCAATTTCAAACCTCATGGTGCCCTGTGTGTTGGACTCTTGTAGAGTCCAGCGGTATCACGGAATATGCAGTTAACGTGGGGGTGGGGTGGGTAAGGATCTTGAACTATTTATGAGATTATCTTGAGCGTCTCTCTAATTGTCATTGAGGTAACTGGTGCTTTTCAGAGACCGATGAAGGGCTTATTCTGTCAATGGAAACACTAATCTGTATAGAGCTCTGTCTCAGATGTGGATGTTGCTGTGTCCTCTTAACCCAAAGGTTTTCTTCAGGGTTTCCTGAAGAGAAAGTGTATAGATTTTACTAAAAAGGCAAGGTATGTGGGAGCAACATCAGGTGGCACAAAGATTCTAAATGCTCACACATCAGGGAGGCGACTTCCCAAAACAATCATTCAAGAACCTCTGTTTTGGAAAGATTCCTTTCTCTGTGAAACAGTTCACCTCAATATATAAGCATACAGATGCACTTTAAATGAAAGCCCTTGCTTACCTATAAAATGATAGCTGGTAGCGTTTCTTTTGCAAGAATGCATTCCCAATACAAAAGGTAAATTATTTTATCAGACTTCAGATGTAATTTCTAATTCCAGGATTGGATATTTATTCGAGGACTACTTTAAAAATAGAAAATAAGTTTGTAGCATGCTGTCTGAATTCCAGGGAACGTTCCACCTCTCAGTTTTTCTGATGTAGAACTTCCTTTGATGACCCCGGTTGGAAGTCTGTTAGCAGCCTTTTGCATTTGTCGTAATTCAAGGTAAAAACAGGATCAGTGACATCTGCAGTGTCCCATTCGTTTCTCTGCATGAATCTGCTTAAATAAGTTTTTTTGTTGTTAGTTTTTATTCCCTTTTTTATGTTTTGTTCAGAATTTGTACATTCAAGTTGCACTTGTTATATCTGACATGAATGAAATAAAATTTAAATTGCAGATACTTTTTTACATATGTATGATTTTTAAGAAAGCTTGTCAAATAGGAGGGGCAAATGAGAATAGGAACAACATCAAGCACATGGGCATTGACTAGCTATGTAATGACTGCAGGAATTAAAATTGTCAAAATACGTCCCAGACAATGTGAAGAGCAACAAAACTTTTGAAAATTATATTATTAGGTCAAGTAGAAGTGACACATTGGGTAATTTGTCTTTCTGATTTAAAGCGTACATTATATAAAAGAGACAGTTAAATCTTATTGGAAACATTTACTCATACTATGCAGCATGTTGTTAATACGTTAGAAGCAAGGCATTAAGCATCCTGAGAGTGGAAGACTGTACCTCAGAAAGGGAAACTTCACCATTCCTTCTCTGGAACAGAGTCTAAGTCTTAACGAAGGAAATAGGGGGCCACGATGGCAGAAGAGTCTCACATGCGAGAAGCAGTCTAGGGGAAAGACAAAAGGGAGGAACGGGAAATGTGGAACTTGAGAAGACCTTTCCATCTAAAGACATTTTAAAAAATTACATGATTGAAATTATTCTACAGTAACCAGTAAGAATGAGTCGTTTTTTTTATTCATTCAACTTCACGCAGTTTTGTGTTTAGTTTAGATAAACATGTAAATGTAACTTCTCATGGCTAAAATAGAAATTCATTTTAAATGGTAATAGACATTGTAGCAATCTGGGCGCTGTGAGATAACTGATGAAAATATGCAATGAAGAATACCAAGAAAGGACAGTCTCCAGTCTGGTGGTTCAGAACCGGAATTTTTCTGAGCTGTGAAAATATTTAATGAGAGTGGCGATGCCTGCAGAGCAGAAATAGAAGAGTTGAGGATGTATCAGTGAGACAGGCTAAAAAAAAAAATACTTGAAATTTTTGGTCTTAACACTAATGGTCCATTTGTATTCGTAGGAAATCTCATATGATATATGAATGTCTTTTTTTTTTTTTTAATGTTAAAATGGGTTGTCTATTTAATTAAAACATAGATGGAAGCAAAAAAAAAAAAAAAAATACAAGCACTGCAAGCCAAATGAGACCTGTCTGCAGATTGAAATGTAGCCCCACGCTGCCCTTTTGCTACTTCTAGATTCAGGGGATTCAGCCTCCAAAGAAAACATGGTTAGGTTAGTCCAGCAGTATTGAATATTTACAAAGTGACACAGCCATGCTCGTCACTGGAGGTAAACGCACCTTGAAAGAGACAATAAAGCTTCCATGTATCTGACTTCATGGTCAGCTGATGTCTTTGTCATGTCTGGAGCCAAATTTCACTGCAGTTTCTCACGGATACACCCCCACCGCTCTGCCCTAGCCAAAAGTAACGCGAGGCTTTTATTCAACTTCAGCCATAGAGATTGCGAACCTCCTAAGAAAAGGAATCTTTAAGAGTTTGGTAAAATCATTTGGAAGAAGAGAAATAAAATTGTGAAACTTAGCATGGAAGGGGATAATTAAAAGAAAGTTTGTAAAGAACTAAAGGCACATTCTAGTGAAAGAGGAGAAATGGAAACGAATAGGAACTAATTTACACAAAAATGGCATATGCCGAGTTGTTACTTACTCTGCTCGTCCATTCCCTTGTAAGTGGTTAGTGCATAGTAAGTGGTTAGTGCATAGTCACTGTAGAGGGAGGCATCTGGTCTTTCATTTCCTTTCATCTCACTGAAGCATTTCAGTGAACAGTCAGGAGGGTATTGGTGGTTTACAGTATTTCCAGAGATATATGTTATAAAAATTTTTCAATAATTTATATGAACCCCTTAAACTTTAAAAATTCAATTTGATTAGGTAGCCCAAGAAATGCTCATTGCGTTGTAATGCACATATAAGCACACTTAAGTTTCTTCAGTCTAAACCATTTTTTTCTGTCATACTGATAACTAACATTGATGTTATGATGATGACATCAAGGGACACCTTAAAACTGTAGTGTTGGACAAATTATGACATGGACTCTGGCCTGGTTGAGGAACCAGGACTAGGACTCCTGAGCTGGAGAGTAGGTCTAGGAAGGGCCATTATCTGAAAACTAGAAGCTAGTGTCCAAGTGGCCCTGGCAGTGAAAAGCTAGGTCTGTATTGCAAATCCAGACAAGGCTGCGGGGCAACCAGGGCAGACACAAACACTGCAGGTCAAGGCCAGGGAATACCGGAAATAGTGTGAGAAGACAAGAACCAGGTGTACCTCAAGGGAGGGAAGCAGGGGTAGACAAACCTAGATCACAGATGATCAGAACCTGTGCCAGCAAGATTGGCCAGCAGCGAGGAGGCCTCAGGAATGAAGCAGCCTTTGTTCTCAACAAATGTGATCGAAGGAAACCAAACTTCAGGGCCAGACATGTCACCTGGGGGAAGGAGGAACTGGGGGGTATGTTCATCTTAAAATATCCAAGTTCAAAATGTTTCCAAGTAATGTTCAGACAAAGAGGCAGCCCACACCTCTCCCCACCAAATGTGATGCTCCTGCCTGAGCATTACATCTTTAAAGGTGGACGTGTTGAATTAAGTGCAAGGTCATACCCTAAACCAAAGAACTTGAGCAAATCTGAAGTGTAGTATTTTAAAACGCACCTATGAAAATACAACTTGGACCATGGAATTTCTTAAAATAAATGAAAGTACAAAAACAGCTCCTTAGTATTTTATTACAGAATTTCATAAAGAATTTAAGTGTAACAATAGAAAGCATTGAAATTCGTTCACATCTTTGAGATGATTTTCTAATACCTCTACCATAACCCTAGTTCAGAACAACTTGTTATAAAGTTTCAGCTGTCCCAGATAGCAACTTTGATACCATATTTGGCATGCTATTAAGTGACCAGGTGTTGGAATCCTACTTCCTTTTCCTTTTCTTTCATAGAAGGAATATAGGGACTGTGCATATCAAAAATCAGTGTCTCTAGGAAGTTGAGAGTTTGGGATAGTCGTCTTGGACACTTGATCCCAAATACATGAAAGGCAGCTATGAGGGCAGCCAAGGCCGTAACACAGTCATCCACTTTTGTGAGTCTCTCTTTTTCTAAATACAAAGAAAATTCACAGACATCGATGTTAAAAGGGTTCTTAACTTCCAACACGGGCGAGGACACTTGCACCTGAAAAAAAAAAAAAATGATAATAGAGTCACCACCCTGTGATGTGTAAAATAGCTAAATAATGCAAGGATTGAACCATGATATAATAAGCTTGTTGAAGTTTAGAACATTTGTAAATATGACAAAACATACTTTCAAAGAGACCACCATCCTGCTTTCCAGTAAATTATATGAAGATGTGAAATGTCAAACCAGTGATCATTGACACACTGCCTACCTTCTCATTCACAATGACAAAAAGGCTGGGATCATCCCCAAAAACATCTGGTAGGAGTAAACATGTGGCTGTCATCTTCATATCTGTCGAAGCAAACATGCTTACAGTCCAAGTAAAAATAAGCTTTTACTAACTGTTGTAAGCAAAGCCAGTATTAAAACATCTGAATTTGTTTTTAATCATTACCTTCTACAGAGAACAAACTAGCCTTCTTAGATCAGTGTTTGACCAACCATTTTTGACCAGCATCCCCTTCTCATAAACATCTAAGATCTCATGTTCTGTCCTCCAGATCTCGGCCAGGAGAAGATAAGAATTGTGTACTCTCTGTTCATCAGCCAGGATGATCTTATCAAGCATTACCTTGTGATTTAGATTATAAAATTAATAGATTTCTGGTTTCCTAAAATATAATTTTACAATATCGAGTGTACTTTTTAAAATCTATACTCTAATTCCTCCTAGTTGAGAATTTTTTCTTTCTCACATGTTATCTCACTAAACTTTACTTATTACCCAAACAGAACTTTTTCTAACTATCCTGAATGATACAGAAAACTGAGACCAGATCACCCACTCCTAGGTTTACTAACATTTCAACATGTCTTCATCTGTGTGCTGTTTCATTTTTTCTTGCAATGCAATATTGATTGGATTGTCCACCACTGAAAAAGAAGTCAGTATATTTTCTGAATAGGATTCCAAAATGTGCCTTGTTTTCTTATAAATATCTGTTCTTGTAAGAAGTTGAAATTCTCTGAACATCTGGAAGAAGAAAAAGATATTCAATCACTAAAAAAACTAATTAAGGAAATAAACAACTCCTTGGGATTATATTAAATGTTGAATGTAGTTTAACATATATACTAAGCTTTAGTGGAGAAGTAAAGATTTAGGACAGGAGGAGAAAAGAACAAAAGACTGAAGTGAATAGGAAAAGATAAATAAATAATGGACATGGCAAACTTGGAAGCCCATAGAATTAAAACTGGATGCAGACTCAACCAAATGAGGGTTCCAAAGTATATATGCATATTTCATATTTTGGCTATTTGGCTAAGATTCTAGGATCTTACATTTCTTTTGGTAAACCACATTGTTATGTTTTGGCAGTGTCCAACAAGAGTCAAAGAAGAAAACAGAATTTAGTAGACAAACGTTAAAAAATACCTAACTTTAGTATCCTAAAGGGAAAGATGAGAGCTTTAGAGACTCTATAAGATCAGACAGAAATAAACTTGTGAAAAACTGTGCAGGTAAGACATTTGACTAAAAGATGAAAGCGAGACCAAGTTACCTTCATGGAATCTCCTGCAGGCAAAACCACCCTTTCCTGCCAATGCCAAAGTTCTCAATTCCACCAATTCCACCACCAATTCCACCAATTCCACTGTTTCCCTCCCTACTTTTTTTTTTTTTTTTTTGATAGTGGCATTTTAAGATTATCACCTACACTAGTAGGAACTGATGTCATCATCACGTAAAGAATAGTTATATACGACCCACTGTGTCTCATTGTTCCTTAAATATTTTGGTAGATCATCAATCTCCCAAAGATAAGGTCCAAAAGTTGTTGGAAAACTGAGATGCACATTTTCGCAAAGGCATAGTAGCTGTTATCAGGAAGTCCTCAGTGGACCACTAATCTAGGTTAATACCCTGAAAAGGTCTTCTCTTAGTAGGGAATTGTAAAGTGGAGCATGAAGGTGGTGAATATTCTTCCACTTTCCTGGGTGCATATAGGCTAGGAATTTTTTTACCTTTTATTCTCAAGTTTACATTAAAGTTACAGAAAGAGTAACTTTTGCCCTTCATGCAACTTCTTCCAATGCTAACATTTTTGATCCATTTGACAATAAGCTGTAGACATGATGCCTCTTATGCCTTAACTCTTCATTGTGTATTTCTTAAGTACAAGGAACTCTTCTATATAACCACAGCACAACCATTGAAATCAGGAAAATCTAATCCACGGAACCCACTCAAGCTTGCCAGTTCCATTCATATTCTTTATAAATCAGGATCTAATACAGGAACATGTGTGAGATTTAGAGATCATGGCTCCTTAGTCTCTTTCCACCTGAAACAGCTTCTTGGTTGTTCCTCATATTCTTTGACATTTTTGAAAAGCAAAAGCGAATTACTTTGTTGGTCTAGGTTTATATGATATTTCTTCAAGATTTGTGCATTTTTTGGCAAGAACGCTGACACTTTTCACTGCATGAGGAAGCACGAGGTGCTAATTGGGCCCATTATTAGAAATATTAACTTTTATCACTTCATTAAGATGATATCTGCCACATTTCTCTACTATAAAGTTAATTATTATATATGTTGTACTATATAGTTGCAAGTATTACATTAGCTGGTGATTCTTATGTTCTTCTCTTAAGTTCTAAGATTGTTGAAATAATTTCTCAGTAAGGCAAAAACTAGCATCTCAAAGGATTTATTGGAAAATTTGGGGAACTGTTAAATGGTATTCGATATTTTCCCCTCAACTCCAGTAGTGTTTCATGTCACATCCAATAGATCCCAGTAACAAATTTCTAGTTGATAATTTCTTAGATAGTCTAAAAGTATATTTTTTAATTATTAATTTTTAAATTTTCTGTTGAAAGTTTTTTGAGGGGAGGATGTTAATGAGCGCAGGTTGTGATGGAGGGTTCAAGTAAATCCCTAAGACCACCTTCCCGCACCAGCTGCTTCTCTTCTGCCACATCTGTGTCCACAGTACCCTAAGCTCCAAGTATTTCCACAATGGTAGTAGCAACAAGTGGCAGAGGAGGTTTGGAGTAGGGCAGCCGGCCTCCTATACGGTTGCTTTTAACAGGGTATTTGTAAATAAAGTCAGACTTGCTTTTATTTTAGGAAGCACAACAGGGTTTATCAATTGTGAATCCCATCTAAGCTAGACAGGCTGAGTTAGGGAGGTACTTCCTGAAGATACCAAAAATGTTTAACTTTTTTAAAACAAGAAATAACTTTATTCGGTAAGTACGCTCATTACAAAAAACCATACCCCAAATCATATTTTGGATATAAAGGGTTAAATACCTGAGAGAGTATGGGGGAGGGGAAGGGGAGACAGAGACCTAGACAAAGCATGAGAGATACGGTCTCAGGTCTGAAATCTCCTCTTTACTCCTCAGGCTGATAATCAACCTCAGACTTACTATCATCTACTTTTTTTAAAAAGACCACTGAACCACAGAGCTCATCTGTTTTTAATCACTAAACCTTTGCAAGCTGCACTTCAATGAAGACTTTGAATATAAATAAGACTGTAATATCAGTGACCTTTGTGTTATATCAAGTAAACGTTCATGTCCCTCCAAATTTATATGTTGAAATCTAATGCCCAATGTGATGATATTAGAAGGTGAGGCCTTTGGGAGATGATTAGGTCATAAGGGCAGAGCCCTCATGAATGGGATTAGTACAGAGACCCCAGAGAGCTAGCTTGCCCCTTCAGCTATGTGACGTTACAGCTAGAAAGTGCCACCCAAGAACCAGAAAGCAGGCTCTAGCCAGACACCACATCTGCTAGTGCCTTAATCTAGGGCTGCGAGAAATAAACTTTTGTTGTTTACAAGCCACCAAGTCTATGGTATTTTTGTTACAGCATTCTAAAGTGATAAAGACACCAACCATCCACTAACTCATTCAAAAAGTCAACATTTTATTTGTATTTCATATAGTACTCTGGTAGATACTTTAGGAATACTAAGATGTTTAAAACATGCTCCCTGTATTTAAAGAGTTGATAGACTTTTAGATTGACAGGTTTTTGCATGAAAACTATATTTTGTAGCTGTGTCAATATGGCATACTTTTCTAATAGTCAGAGGCTACTGGCTACTACTGTTTCTAACAATAGGAACAGATTAAGAGAAAGTAAGCAAAAATCAAGGTAGGGTTGCTGAGAAGAATAGATAAAATAATCCATGTACAGTACAAAGAACATGTCTGCTACATAGTAAGTTCAGATGTTTGCTATTGATATTATTATCAAAATAAAACATGCAAGCAAATTTTTATTATTTTGGAGTGGGGAGGAAAATGTGTAAGACTTTTCATTTTCAATTTGGTTGATTGCACCCAAAGAATTCTTCTATGAAATGTGTTCTTAGGTAAAAACTCTGACGAATCTTTCATTATGTGCTATAGCTAATATTACACTAAAATTGTAATAAGATCCTTTAATGGCTACCTTAAATAAACTAAATGGCAGAGTACATGAATTATCCCTTAAACTTCATGTATTTTAAGACCACCTTATGAAATGATTTGGGGTCATAAAGGAAATAGATTTTGAGTAATGCTGCATACTAATATTTCCTTAATAAACTATCTTGATTGTGTAAATGCATGCAAAGGGAAAATATTTCACACTGTCAAAATACCCTTAAGTAATGGTCTCCCAGCCTCCCAATATGTCCAATGACAGGGAACTCTTTAAATCTGAAGGCAGCCAGTGTTATTAGAATATGTTTCTAGAAATTCTTACCAAACTGTCCTGGTTGAAGCCCCTGGTATTCATACCTACCACCTTGCTACACAGTGCTGTTACCGCTCCAAGAGGAAAGAGAGACAAGTCCTTTTTGACACTATAATCAGAGTATTATAAGTAAATAAAGATACCTGATAAGGGCACTTCAGGAAAGGAAACATTTTAAGAATGTCCTTCAGAGGTGTTCTGCTTCCAATCAACTTCCTTCTTATTTGCAAAGTCTGGCTCATCCTCTTATCAACTTCTCTCCAGTCCTTGTCTTTTTTCACATATTCTTGCTGGAACCAGCTAATATGTTCATCTACCTCAGAATCTAAACAAACAGCTTCTTCCTGCAAAATATTTTCAAAATATCAATATGTTCTATATTTCAAGTTTCAGCTTAACACTTTGAGAATTTGAACTATAGGCTTTACTGTATTCATTTTCTATATATCATAATAATGCACTTATATGATGAGCACCATTATGTGTAACTACACTTGACCTTGAACATGGTTAACAAATAGACAGTCTTTAAAGCTGTGAACAAATCAGATAGTTAATTATTTAATTAGAATTATAATCTGATCTCTTACAGATCTACGAGTAACTTCATTTCCTACATACCCTTTTACATGGAGATCTAGGTCATCCAGAAGGTTCACACTTAACAGGAATGTTTATTTCTACTCATTTAAATTTTAGAAAACAAAATATTAAGAAGAGATAAAGAGGTTTTAAATTAAGATTTGTTGTTACTGCTTGTATTTTTTCTTTTTAAATGCCTTTTAATAACTGCGGTACCATGTCATATAATACATATTTAAAATAATAACTGGGTATTTGTGTTGCTAAATTATCAAGCTGTCATTATACTTTACACATTTGGGTACACTGGGTGGGGTGGGGTGGTTAAGAAATACTCCACATATTATCATTAAAAATATAAGACAATCAGCTTTGAGGAGACAAGAAAAAAAAAAACTTTCTAGAAAAATTAGTTGAGAGTGAGGCAGGATAGTTAGCCTAGGGAAGTCCTTCCTTCCCTCCAGGATGTGGCTCTGGAATTTCTCCTCTGCCCCTTATTCAGCCCTCTCCTTGTTTCGATTTCAAGCTGAGACTCCAGCATGAGAAATAGGCCAACGCCAGAAGACAGGACAGATGGCCTTGGGCCACCTCCTTCCCTCTAGGTGATATGGGAAACAAGCCAAGAACATGAGGCAGGCCAGATAGGCTTGGGACACCCTCCCCACCCCCAAGAAAAAAAAAGCCCATAATTCAGACAGCTTGGGGCAGACTCTCTCTCTGAGCTGCCCTCACTTTGCTCTTAAGTGTGTACATTTCACTTTAAAAAACTGGAGCTTTCCAGCTTGCTGTTTGTCGTGTCCTTGAATTCTATCTCAGGGCATAAGACAAGAACCCAGTCACCAGAACCTCAGGGTCAGGGTCCCACCTTGGACTCCCACCCCGTCGAGCTGTCTGGCATCAAGAGGACATCCATCTGAACTTGGATTTGAATTAACAACTTCACAAATTGTCTGTCTACGGGACCAGAATGTGAACATATATTACCTGTTAAAGATGAAAAATGATCAAAGCTTTTACAAGTCATCTGTGAACATAGATGACTAGCAAGACATAGACTAGGTGAACAAATTCTAGAAAAATACAACTTAACAGACTGAAAGTTCGTATAATCTTACATAAATTTAATTAGAAAGTAACAGTCTTTCCACAAAAACTTCCAAGATCTGACTGTTTTCTAGACAAATTCTACTAAACTTTCAAAATAGAGTGCTTCAAATTGTACGCAAAGTCTTCCCTTAGGAATCATGCATATGTGATAAAGTCATATATTTCAAAAACAGATGAATGCTAAACAAAATTCAGAGTAGAGAGCAATAGTGTTGGAAAGGCGGGCATGGGAGAGAGGATGATTATAGGCAGACACGAGGTACGGGTGTATTCTAATTCTAAAGCTTGATGTTGGGCTCACAGTGCTCATTTTGTCTCATAAATCCCACATATGCTATGTATATTCTTTTATCAGTCTCAAATGTTATAAGGACAGATTTATTAATAAAAAGAAAAATCCTAACTTTTAAAAAGTAAAGGAAAAATTTTTAATTACATAAACAGCTCTTCTCTTACTGCAATATACCGTTGGTTCTATAATTGTTAATATCGACATTTATAGACTACTAAATACATGGTGTGTTGCTTCCCCTAAAATCCCTACACAATCCATGAACTATCATAAAAAGCAGAGTTTCTAGGACACTTCTGCTTGATGGAATTAACACGTTAGTGTGTTGCATTCTAGACTGACGTGACCTTCCTTGTTAGAAAAAAATAGTTGGTTGCATCAGACTTTAAAATTCTCACTTTTCTAATAATTTCTAGATCATTAGAGCTGGAAGGAACTTAGAAATCATCTGGTCCATGCCTCTCACTTTACTGATGAGCAAACTGAGACTTTCAAAGAGGAGGTAACTTTCCCAAGCACAGAGATAACCAGGGATGGGGGTTCTTGTCTTAGCGTAGCTCCCCCCTTCTCCGAGGAGGTAGACAGCCTTGTTCTGACAGCCTGTACTCCTTAGCAGTACACATTAAGACTAGAGCACTAGTGAATAAGCAATGTCTAAGTCTTACAGAACAGCAGATGCAGCAGAGTCAACTGCTAGATGTCTGTGTCAGAAGGCAAAGAAAGTGGGGAGACATGCTGAAGAAGCATCAAAGGAAGAAGGCAGGAAGCAGGGAACAGATCATTCCTGGCCAAGAATGCTAGTGAATGGATACTTGGGAGGGAAGTGGAAGTCACCCGTGGGATTTGTGACTTCAAAGGAATCAGCATAAGTTAACCAGAACATTAACCTGAATTGGATGCAAACAAACTGGAAAAGTAGCTTATGCCACGCCTCTACCGCACCAGTGCTGGTGACACAGAGTGAGCTCTGCTCCAACATCACAGTGACCTAGAGCACCTAGAGAGTTGGCTGAAGTAGCAGAGAGTTGAGCTCTAACCAGTTTCAATTCTAAGTTGACAGCTGGAGTAGAAATGAGTGGGGATAATGTTTCCAAATTAGATTTTAACAGAAAATTCAGACTGCTTTTAAAGTATTAAGACAGCATGATTTAAAATGTACAGTTATAACATTCCCTCCCAGAAATGAATAAAATCTCACCTTGACTTTTATTGAACATAATTTTGTTCTACATCCTGCAATCTGAATAAGTGTGCAAAGAAAGTATCTCGTTATGAAAATTTATGAAATTTAATTATTCTTATAAACACATTATTAAAAATCCACTTTAAAGACAACATGTAAAGGTCTTGTACCTAAGATTTGGGCACTATAGCTCTGAACATCAAATAACTAGTCATGCTCCCTTCCAACTTTGGCGTTCCCTATAGTGTCGATTCACCCTACACTTCCACTGTGTTTATCTTAGCCATCCAGTGCAATAGCCACAAGCCACATGTGGCTACAGAGCACTTGAAATGTGGCTAGTCCAGACTGACCCGTGTGTTGTAAACACTGGATTTCAAAGATTTGGTATGCAAAAAAAGAATGTTAGACATCTCATTAACCATTGTTAATAACATTGAGATGATAATATTGTGAACATATTAGGTTATATAAAATATACTATTAATATTATAATCTACCTGCTTCTTTTTACTCTTTTTAAAAAAGTAAATTCTTCCCATGTGGCTATGAGAAAATTTTAAATTACATGTGTGGTTCGTATTACATTTCTATGAGACAGTGCTGTGTTAGATGCTAGGGTTTTCTACACACCAAATTCCAGTTGTCCCATTTTCAATTCTCTTGTCATCAAATTGACTGGAAATGATGCTTCCCTATGTAACTTGAGGAGTCGCTCTGTTTAGCATTCAGTTATGTGTCTCATGCGGCAACTTTGCCCCATGTTTCCAAGTCCACAGCTGACTTATAGAAGTTCACAGTATTAGTAAATTGCCACCTGCTGATAACAGTAATTGCATTATATCCAGAATGCAATTAACTGTCAACATTTTTCTTCAACTTTTGCTGTCTTGTTCAGTTTTGCCCCATGAGAGAAACATCTGTGAAAAAGGCTATAAAAAATGATTAGTATTTAGACAATAAATCATTATGTATCAGGTGCAGTAAGAAACAAAGATTAACTGCCATAAAAGAAATCCAAAAGAACTCAGTAGATATTCTTAACATTTGACTATCTAAGTAGTTTTTGCATAACTTTCAGTTCCATTTTATCTCTAATACCAAAAAAGCTAACACACAAAACTGCTGCATGACTTTCAAAGTTATAGAGTCCCTATATATCCAATAACTAGGAAAAGAAAATGTTTTAAAAGAGAAATGAATTATAAGTATAGTGTTGAGTAATTTAACTCTTGGTATTTATTAATTTGTTTAGCAAATATTTGGAGGATTTAGGGGTACAAAGACACCCTACAAGGACATCCACGCTCATGTGTCTTTGGGTTTCTTGTTATGTGAGAGCATAGCTTTTAAAAAAATATATAGTTTAGGCCAATTTTAGAGAAAGTTTTCTGTTAGCTATAGACAAAACCACGTTAACTGAGACACCAGAACGCACAATTCTCAAATCAGAAAACAATTTTCTGAATGAATACTATATCCAACTAAACAACCTTTCAAAGAAGGAGACATTCAAGACATTTCCAGATAAATAAAAACTGAGAGAATTGGTCACAAGCAGATCTGTCCTACCAGAAACATTAAAAGCTAAAATGAAAGAACATTAGATTATAACTCAAATCCACATGAAAAAATAAAGAGCACTGGTAAAGGTCATACAAGAGAAATATAAATGACAGTATAAATGTATTTGCTGTTTACAATGCTTCCTCCCATCATATTTTAAAGACAATTGTACGAAGCAATAATTATAAACCTATGTTGTAGAGTATACAATGTATGAAACGTGATTTATGTGACAATAACAGCACAAAAGGGAAAGGGGATGGAGTTTTATAAGGGCAAAATTTTTGTAAGCTATTGTAATTAAATTAATATTAATCCAAACTAGATTATTATAAATTGAGATGTTAGTTGTAATCTCCAGGGCGACCATTAAGGAAATAACTAAAATTCCATATACATTAAGAAAAACGATAAGGGAAATTACATTAGTATGGTAAAAAACTATCTACTTAACACAAAAGAAGGCAGTAATTAAGGAATAAAATTACAAAAAAGGGATGGCATATAGAAAACAAACAGCAAAAGAGCACACATAAACCCTACCTTACAGAACGTATTTTTAAAATGATCCTATGATATGCTGTCTACAAGAGATATACTTTAGATTCAAACAC